CCGGGGCGCCCCCCCCTGCCGCAGCGGACACAAAAGCCACTGCCGCGGCTGTCTTTCCGCCGCCCAAACGCGCAGTTTCCGCGGCCGCGGATGCCCTTCTCCCCCCGGGGTTTTGCAGCTCTCTGCCCGAAACCGTTTGAACTCTGGGGCTGCGGCTTCCGCGGCCGCGCAATGGCAACCCAGCCCCATGGAGCCCTGTCAGCAAGGGTAGGGAGGGTTTGGGGGTGTCGCGGGGTTGGTGGGCTGCTCGGTGGCTTTGCACCTAACGTGAGGGCTCAGCAGGGAGGAGCTGAGTCTCCTCGGCTGCTTCATCACTTCTTACAGCCATGGGAGCATGCACCAGACCAGAAGACCACTGGTTTTCCTCTTCAGTTTCCATCCGGGAGGGGATGTGCAAGCCTTCTACTGTTATTTTAGCCCGGATTTTCCGTGTTCGTTTTCTCCTGTTCCTGGAGGTAGCACTGTTAGTCCTAAATCAGAGCAGGGCTCACGTTTACCCAAACCCTGCTGCAAGCTTCAGTCGTTGTCAGAGTCCTGAACACTCCTTGGAGCTCAGCTGGGGACCAGGGACACAACCTGCTTCAGTTTTGGTGCTGGTGGCCATCACCAGTGTACCCTGCCCTGCGAATCTGCTGCTGCTGGGCAAAATTTGGGCATCTTGACACATTTATGGCTCAGGGAAAGGAAAAATTCCAAGGAGACGCTGAGCAGAAAGCAGCTCCTACACCTTCCCTGTACGCCTGTACCAATGCCCAGCTTCCAGCAGCCTTTAATTCTCCCCCATCACGGTTAATGCTTGAATTATTGGGGTTTGGGTATGTTTCAAGTATGGCTTGGGGATGCCTTGCCCAAGCACAGCTTCCATAGGGTTATGCCCTTGGAGGTGCCCAGGTGTGTGCCCACGCTGGCGGCAGCCAAGGGAGGCTGTCATTTAATGGTCCTTTAGTCCCCTCAAAGTCCCCAAAGGGGGTTCCCATGTATAAAACAGGTCTCTCCACCACCCTTCACACTTTTGATTTTTGAACTCCCCATGCCAGTGTTTGGCCTGTGGGTGTTTCTGCACACCGGAGATGATGGTTTTCCATCCCTCGCACCGCGC